TTGTCATTTAGCAGATGCTTCTATCCAAAGCAACTTACAAATGAGGACAGAAGCAATCAAAACCAACAAAAGAGCAATAATATGCAAGTGCTATATTAGTATAGTGTTATATTTCAATTTCACAAAAAAATGTGCAGCATTTTGTCCAAGCAATAATAAAATTATACATTTAATTTATAATTTGTCTTAAATCTCATTTTGTAAAAAAAAAAAAATTGTGAATCGAATCGACTCGTGAAATCAAAATCGTGAATGGAATCGAATCATGAGTTGAGTGAATCATTATATCCCTACTTGTAAGTGGTTAGGTGTGGAGTGTTATTTGAGTGTTCCCTGTGAGGCTAATATTAATTTTGATGTGAGCAAGTTAATAATTTCAACTGTAAAAACAACTGCAATGTTTATATGTTAGGTTACATTTTATTTTGATGGTCCCCTTAGTCTATTGACTATAAGCAACGTTGCAACTACATGTCAACTAACTCTCATCAGAGTATTAGTAGGCTTAGGTTGGTTCCCCTACAGACAAACTGACAGTTACTTATAGTCAGTTTGTCTGTTGGGGAACCATCAAAATATAGTGTTAGCATATATTTAGCAGACATACTACTAATACTGCAGAGTTACTTATCAACAGCTATCTAAAGGGTGCCATCAAAATAGTCAAACTGATATTACAATAAAAATAGTTCAAAGCAAATGTGTTATATTACACATTCATCTGATCTGATATCTGATCTTATGGCTGTTTGAGGAAAAAAAAAAAATTATTATTATTATTATTACTATACTTATGTGGTCATTGATTGCTTTAAGTAAAGTAGCATGAGAACGATGGCAAGATATGAGACTTATAATACATTATAACTATGAGAAATATAATCCATTGTAACTTAAGTGGATGCAACATGTTCACTGTGTGTTATAAATCAACATACTCTTAAAAGCTATAACCACAAATAAGTAAATAGTATAAAACATTAAAACTGTTATTATGAATATTCATAAAATTATATAGCATATTATAAGGTTTTATAAAATGCATTATGCATTCATTATAATGCCTTGATAATACCCTTATAATGTATTATAAATATGGGCTTCATAGAAAGTGTTACCATAAAGTGTTTCCAAATATTATTACATTTTATATGTATTTATATGTATTCAACTTCATTCTGTCCACTCCCATAAAAAAAGTTTAGAAACAACAGTTAATTACAAATAAACAGCAAGTAACACATTTAATTAAAATCATTTTTGCAGTGTATCTATCTGTCTTTCTGTTGATCTTTTATTTGTATTTATTCATTTGGGTTTATTGACCCTACTTGCAGATTAGAAAAAAACCCAAAAAAAAACTAAATATATACTACCATTTTAAAGTGTTTGAAAAGTCTATTTTGCTTACCAAGCTTGCATTTATTTTATAAAAATACAGTAATAAAGCAATATTTTGAAATGTTATTACAATTTAAATTAACTAATTTGGTAATACTTAGCTTTATAGTGTCATTGTGTACTTACTGTAGTAATGACAAAAATTATGCATAATTAAATGCTATAACCTAACACTTTTGTAAGTACATGTTATTAATTAATATTGCTCAGTTCTTACATGTATAATTACACTGTAACAAGGGCACCATAAAATAGTGTAAACTAAGGAATTTCTATTCTAATATATTTTAAAATATCATTCATGCATTCAAAAAATTGTAAAAGCTAAATTTTTAGCATCATTACTCCAGTCTTCAGTGTCACATGATCCTTCAGAAATCATTCTAATATGCTGAAACATTTCTTTTTATTGTCAGTATTGAAAACAGTTGTGCTGCCTAATATTTTTTCATGGACACTGTGACACAGTGATTAATGCATGATTTATGCATCCTTGCTGAATAAAAATATTAAATTCTTTAAAATGGTAGTGTATACATTTTGTTAGTTGCGTATGTCAGAGGGACAAAAATAGATGTAAAAATAGAAAAAAATGAATGAAATTCTCTGGAATATGATGTAACTGGTAACTAAACACTAAGTAGCCAAATATTTCATGAACATAATGTAGGATGTATTAGTATGTAGTAGTATGATGTCAGCTAACATTGGTACATTTATTCTGTACTTGGCTTTATACAGTAAGCAGTAGTATGTCCTCATTTCAATAACAGCAAAAATGTGTGTGGATGTGCATTGTGTCTGT